ATATCCGTCAATCTAATGCCAATGACCCCGAGCGCGTACATGGAGGAGTAGATCATAGACCAGGTCCGTGTGACACATCATCGTTGTCTTCCCAACTTCGAGATCTAGGTATTTTGGGTTGGCATACAAGACCTTAACCACCGTATCTCGCATCTCCCGAACCGCTTCTACAGTGGACGTATAGACGTACTCTGCCACAGAGAAGAATTCATCGTGGCAAAGCTTTGATGAAGATGAAGTGAGTTCTTTGAATTTAGCAAGAGACAGCGCCTTCAGCCCTTCAATGCTGTACATCTCCGCGAGCGCAAAGATCTTAGCGTGGTGCATCAGGCAGTCCCTTCCTGAGGGCGAAGATTCATCCGACAGCACCAGCGAAGTCGTATCATAGTTCGACTTGTAGAAGTACTGGACCATACAGTCCACCGCCGTTGGATCGTCCTCAACAAGGCTGATGCTTGGTTTTTCGCCTTGAGTGTGCCACTGGGGGCTGCATTTTGTGGCGAAAACCCTAGAGCGCGAACAGACAACCAACCTGTGGACTTGATATTCTCCTTTGGACGTAGAGATCGTCAGATCCGAGTGCTCCCCAGTGAGCAGCAAGCTACAATGCCAGCATTAGAGCGACGTCTGGGAGATCGCTCAAGCAACATACCTTTGAATCTCGCTCAGGCAGTCTGCTTGATCCTTCTGAACTATGGCCATAACTGGTGTGGCGACGGGAGGCGTTGGTTTGGTTTCTTTGAACAGGTCTGGAAATCTCCTCTGAGCTATGGAGTCCGAAATGAATATGCCGTCCGCAAGCAGGTCTTGGAGGATTCGGACAAGCTCGTCGTCTGAGTAGGTTGCAACCTGGAGGTAATTTGCTTCGACTACTTTGCGGATAGCCTTCTGCTTCCGTAAGCAGGAATTCTCGTATTGCCCAAAGACTCTCCTGCAGGCCGTGGAGCGATAGACGCGGATCCGGTCATCTCGTGAGACCTCCATTTGTGATTGAGGAGGGACATCGTGTTGTGCCACAACTGACCATATGTTGTTGTGTGCACGGACCGCATGTTGGCAAGACGACCCAGCCTTGCCAGTACTTCAAGACATGATGTAATTATGACTCCCCTCTAGTGGTCGGGACGGGCACACAGCGAGCGACCGTAACGACATGTGCTACAGTACCACAACAACGCGCCTCGGACGCATTACTAGATCAGAAGTAGATAAACGTGAGCGTCACAAAGTTGAATCCCGGGTTTGGCGCGCGTCCATGCCGGGGCTATTGCGGACAGATAACAATCCATAAACCCAATTCATCTTAAAGACGAATGAGCCTCCACCAGCGACACCGAGTCAGTGATGGGACGCGGAAAGCACAGTGATGGTGGGTCAGCGTTAAGGGTATTTCAGGCGGAGACGTTGACACTGGCCGATTGATGTAGGCCGCAGATCAGATACGTCGCTGCGATAAGGCCGACAACGACAAGGAGAAAGCCCTGCCGACCGTGACACCAACACCGTTGACGCCACTGTGGCTAGCGGCATTTTCGACACCACCCACCGCAACCACCACGACAGCGGCGGTCATATCATGAACAAGATGTCCTCGGATGTGTACAGTATCACGGCGGTGTTAAACTAGACTTTCAGGCGTTCCGCAACGGTGAGGGCACGTGGGGCACTCTATACTGCGTTGGCCGTGGTGTTATTTGGGCTTGCTGTTGCTTCAATTGACGTGATGTTTGAAAGTAGGGTGATCGTACGTGGCATGTCTTCGAGTAGGATCGCGTTTAGATTAGCGACGAATGACAGCCGGCTGATTGGGAAGAACCGCAAGCCCCCTTTATCTTGAGAGGAAGATGGTATAAAGCAGGGAACCCGGTCGCCAGAGGCAGAGGACGAGTGGCGTAATTTGATGGGACGCTCTCTGTGCTGGCCTTCGACAGAAGCCGGGCAACGTTTCCGTGCTGAAGAGCGACGACTTTTTAAGTGCTCCAGTGGTAAAAGAGTACCGTGGTCTCCGCTGTGGCCTTCGAGAAGAGTAGAAAAAGTGCAATGGAGTTTTTAGATCGTTTGCAAGGCCAGTCGGTATCTGGTACTTTGTTGCAGCAAGGCTTTGTATCAAGCGGCGTGTGATGGTTTTGCTGTCAGGCATACCGGAAGGAGGAAGAAGGTTGCCAAGGGTGCAACGCAGACCACTGTTATGCTGTTCTCGCGCAGCGGTGAACAGACGCTTGGTCAACTCAACGGGAGACATTTGGAGAACCATCGTTGGAGTAGCTTCTCGACGCGATGGTGGCAATTTGGGACTCTCCTCCGGAGCTCGACGGACCAGCGCTTCGAGAATGGCTCCCATCGTCGGCCAGCTCCACGGCTTGGTTGGCATAGGCAGATGAAGGAGCCAGCCATATGGGTCAAGATGCGGCGACTTTTTGTTCGACTCATATCCCATTCTCGGATCTACAATTTCTCGAAAAATCACAAGGGTTTCATTTGTCCTAACTGGATGGCCTAAAGTGTCTAACAAAGAGACCTGCAGCGAAGCTAGCGAATATTATGTCCATCCTACACAGTGCCATCTTCAACATCAAATCTAGAACTCTGTCCCGAAAACTTGCTGTGTTCGGCAACAATAAAAGTAGTCCAGAACCCAGCTGCAAGCCCGCTCCTTCTTGACAGACGTCAGTCGTAGAAAGCCACCGTTCTCAAATTTCAATGTCAAGCTCTGGGGAAATGTCTTCCTCGACATACGAGATGCCCGAGAGTCTCTTCAGTTGATAATTCAGACTTACGGTAAAACCAGAGTCGTTCCCTTCACCAAGGCGTGTAGTAACATATCGCCAGGAGTCGGAAGTCTCAGGCCAGTCGTACGCCCAGACGCTCACGCGGACCCTTAGATTCGCATGGAGCATTCATGCGGCAGGACGACATTCATCTCAAAAGGGTCGATCATACGGTTAAAAAAGCGTAATAGAATATAGGTAATGTCACTATTTATCGCTTTCCAGTCTAAAAAAATTGCTTCCGCTGACGAAGATGCAAATACGCAACATTGCAAGCTGTCGCCAGCAACCTGAGTGCTGCGTGAGAGCAAGACTGACTAAGGGAGCTCTTGAGAATTAATGAATCCCGCACAGGGGCAACCTGCTACTCGGCCGCCAAGGGTTTGCGACCTTGAAATTAGGTCTAGGAAGGGGTGTCAGTTCGACCGTGTTACAATTGCGTGCGGAGAATGAAGACTTACACGATGTAGTACGGTCGCAGTTTCACATCACGAATGGCCTTCCTCATATTGGCGACCAGAAGCAGGATCTCGATGTATTCCCAGCCCATGATTTCCTTCAACAGGAACAGGGCAAATCCCTCTAGGCTCTCCTCTAGGAAAGCAAGGTTGTAGATGCCAACCTCCTTCAGGCGGGGATCACTGCTCCAGCCGCCACAGGGGAGCCGGTAATCCTTGACAACAATATTCTCGAAGCCAGCCTGCTCCATGTAGCGCTTCTGCGTCCATCGAGACCGATCTTAGCCGTCTTGCCGAGCCGGTCCATGGCCTCGGTGAAGACTTGGCCCCACTGCTTGAAGACGTGTTTCGGGTCATCGCGCACTGAAGGTGCATCGCTGCACAGGCTGATGGTGAATTCGAAGTTCTCCAGATAACCACCAGGCTTGAGCGCCTTGAAGGCCTCGCCGTAGAGCTTAGGCCAGTCGGCTATGCTGCCGTAAAGGGCACGGATGTGGATCAGGTCGAAACTCGCGGGCGGGTACGTCCACTCCAGCTGGGCGTCATCAATGTGGAACTTGCAGTTGGGTGGCACCCAGAAAGGCTGGATGGGGCTGATGTCGAAGCCGGTAACTTCGGCGGCTGGGTGAGCGTCGGCGACATCAATGGCCCAAATTCCGGTGCCGGTACCGACATCAAGTACGCGCTTGGGCTCGTCAATTGGTGCCTCATAGAGCTTATCGCCGAGAAGCAGCGTAATGAAGTGATGAGCTATATCAAGGCCGTCATTCTGGCGGTCGTCGTTGGGGCCGTCGACTTGTAGCTCTGGAACGTACGGCCATGGAGCTGGCGGTACTCGAGCATGCTGCTCGTCAACGAAGCCGTCGATGAAACGAAACTACAGCACGAGTGAGCTATAGACTCGGCGAAATGGAGACTGTCCGTGCTACCTTTCATTATCGATACCTTCGTCACTATCAATATCCGACTCTTCCTGCGCCACACAGTTAGAGCAGCACTAAGATGCTGATTGAGGCCTTACGAAAGGGACTTGATCTGCCGTGATATGCTCCTGTTCGTTGGCTTGCTCGACAACCTGCTCTAGGTTCGCTGGGCTTCCTGGGGCGTCGGAACTGGGCGATCGCGGAGATTTGGGCGACCGAGGAGATCTCGGTGAGGGAGATTTCTGGTAAGATGGACCGGGAGGTGGGGAGGTGGCCGAAGCCTCCAGGCTTGCCGACATAGTAAGGAGATTCCGGGTGTGGTTTAGCTGCGTGAGATTGTTCCACCGGAGAAAATGACTGGATTCGACGGAACGGGACGAAAACCTATGCTCGAACCAGATGAATCCAGTAATGGCGAGGGAGTCGAGAGCTCAGAGGCGTCAGGCGCGTGAGTAGGGTCAAGGGAGGATGCGAGTGCGGATCTAGCCACGAGAGGGCAGATGCCTTGGCATGACACATATCGAGTACCAACAGACCCAAAAAAGCAAACCCCGCCCTCGAGTCGGTCGCCCTATCATGCGTGGCTTGTCTGGAACACGGGCTCGTACTTGATGGGAGACACTGACGTGATTGGCTTTTGCGCCCATGACCATGTCTGGCTCTCCATTCCGCTCCCCCCGTTCGCCCTACGCCGAATCTGAAAAACATCCTGGGCATGGCGCGCTGAGGGACTATGAGGCCACTTGACGAATGGTCATGTACGTCGTCGGGACTCAATGTGTCCGATATGCGGCGAACGCTGTAGCTCCGCCATGCCGTCACCTTGACAAATTGGGAGATCGTCCCTCACTATCAGTATCTACTCGCGTCCGCAGGTGCGAAACATGCTTACTCTATAACTTCGACATAAACACGCATAGACCAACCACCCCACATAGTACAAGTTGTCGTCAAGTTTGTAGTACACGCCTACTATGTGACCGAGCATCGGGGCGCATCACTTCCTTACCGACACTCCTTTGGGAATGCTACACATGCACGATGTGGCACAAAAGGCGGCGGCTACTTCTTGGTCGCCATCAAGTTTCCCCTCATCTCTCCGTTTGCTTGATTGGCCAAACGATGGAACTGTGCTGTTGGAGCCAACTAACCTCTGGGTGTATTTGATAGCTTGAGACCCGGCGACTGTTTCGTTCTGGCCAACGACCTATATCTCTCGCCCTTGCCGGATAAGCCTTCCACAAGTTAAGCTCATCTTCATTAGTTTGCGATCTATGTATGCCTTATCTCTGTTATAGGGAAGAAGGGGGGTTAAGGTAAAGACGAGATGCTTACAAGGTGCAGATCATGGCTTCCGGCCCCATCCAAGTCCTTGTCAATGCCTGTGACTTCAGAACGGGGTATCGCTCTGATGGGTCCTCCTACCGATATAAGAGCTGGGATTGCGAGCAGGCGACCTGCAAATACTCAAGCAACTATGTCGCACCTCAGTAGGATGGGGCTTGTGACGAGAGCATCGCCTCCCAGAATGATGCCGAGGACGGTGGAACTGGGTAGGAACGGATAGGCTATCTCAACTACACACAACAGAGAGCGGACAATCAACCACGAGGTTTCGTAGTCTCGATAGATTCGAATAGTCATTGTCCGGAACAGCAAGCTTGGACGTGAGTTCCCAGCCCGGCGTGCATGTCTTGGGACCCAACTCCATACCTTCGTGCTCGCAGGAGTCAAAGTCAGTAATTACGACACCGTCATTGTCGTCGACCATGATGTTGCTGGGGTTCAGGTCATTGTGGATCAAACCTAACGAATGCAAATGGCGCAGCCCTTCTTCAATATCTCGTATGCAGCGGGTCCCATCCAAAGGCTTCGGGATCCGGAGTCTCTGGGATAGGGTCATCGCATACTTCTGAAAAACAAGTCCTTTGATCCTGCCGCCTTCGACGATGCACCCAAAATACGCCGCAACATTGGGATGTGGTTGCTGCTTCAAGATCTCGCAGACCTTGGCTTCCTTTAGAAGCTCCCTTCCAGGATGGAGGGATGCTTCAGTATCTCCGTAATGAATGAGACTCGGCCTCTTACAAAATTGTTCGGCAGTCGGAGATCCGGTAAGGATGGAAATGCCCGGTTCATATAGCGGCCAAATGTCTTCTGGTGGTATTACAGTCTTGCAGAGCCTGTCGAGATCGGTGGTAGCAGCAAGTTGAGGACGTCGCTTGGGAATGCTGGCAGAGAAGTACTGGCCGCCTTGCTCGATGATGACTTTGGTCGAGTGGAATACCCAGTCGCCATCCTTCTCCACGAAGGCTTCGCTGGACTCATAGATTCGCAAACTCTGATCTGGGGCACTATGTCAGTGAATTTCTCTGAAATATCAATCGCGGACTTGGTTACCGGACGCCATCTCGGGAGATTTCGATGCTTGCTGATTTAGACGGTGAGGTGAACTGCCAAGGTTTGAAACATCACCAGACACTTCTAGGAGCCTAACTCTCACGTGACCATATGCGCTAATCCACATCCACTGCCAAACCACCATCCGCACCAGCGCAACAGCGCTCTCATCCCCCCCTCAGCGACCGTCCCAGACAAACATGATATCGCGGCTTACCCAAGCATTGCGAGACCTCCTTCTTGACATTCCGAACCAGGTTTCCAGGAGAAAGGGTCCCGAAAGATGCTGACATAGACAAGCTGGGAGACTGCTCCACAACAACGACATGATACGGACGTACGATCCAACCCGAAGCACTTTAGCGCGCTTGAAGCACCCAAAATCGAGTCAGCCAGTCGAAAAGATCCACCACAAATATGCAAGAGCTTGAACAATAAGCTGTCAACTCATCGATAGCGGGTTCGACATACAGTGGCGGCGTTCCTCAACATGGACTTCGAGAGTGTAGATGTGTCCCTGCGTTGGCAGGCGATCGAAGGACGTCGGCTGAACGTACAAGATTAATCATAAGATTGCGAAGGAGCGGAATTTGATATTCGAGACGACTTTTCCGTGAATGGTCAGAGTATCCCTCGTATAATCTCGTCATTGTTGGTGACAGTGGGTGTGCTAGAAGCGTCAGCATTCAGGAGAAGGCTTGGACCCCTCGCGGGGTCCAACCATTTCCAAAGAAGAGCCTGCGTCGTGGCATCTAGCGGTACCTAATCCTTCCGGCGTATACTCAAAGTGACAGAGTTGACGGATAGCACAGTCTCGCGAAGCTTTATAAAGGAACTCTAGGCAACATTTGCCACACTACGGAAGGTGGCCGGAGCCGAACTATGTGCTGATTATCCGGATGGAGAGAGTATGGTAAGTGTATGGAGCCGCGGGAGTAATTATCCTGATGCAATCGATCTCGCCTGATATCAACCCTATTGAAGAATTTGCCGGTGACTTGAGAGCCATATCCGTTAAGTCTGGCGCGAGCATGGGGCCCCACGAGATTTGACTTGAGCTTCTTCCTAGGAGAGGTTTGTTGATGCTGTCTTGGCATAGGAAACCGAGGACGTAACCCCGGCCGCTGACGAGAAGGGTCAGGACACAAACGCCTCGGAACCACCCGCCGATATGGCCTCTTCTTCTGGACACTCCCAATCGTCAACACCGTTGAGCTCGCCTCCGGATTCTCCCCTCACCCCAGTTTTGACTGCTAATAACTCGCGGATTCTTCGCTTGTCAAAGCCCGGCGTCTGTGAGCCTACTGGCAGGACGGGCACACAAAGCCCCAACGACGCCGACTGCCTGCATAGTACGGATGCACCGGCAATCTTGCGACTCCGCCAGCGAAACGGCAATGCAAGCCACCACGAAACGCCGCCTCGGAGCTCCAAACTAGCAAACCGTCGGCTCGAACCCCTCCACATTGCGCGCCCGGAGAAGCGATGCTGTCCGTCTAGCATACCACTGATGATCCTGGCGTATCTGGACAAGTCAGATGGCCGTGTGGTTGGGCAGATGCTTCCCCCATTCATGTTGGTTGGCGTCCCCTACTGTACTAATGCCCTGATGTATCAGGTCCAGATACACGAAATTGTGGCCCGTGCATCACCAAAAGTCTGTCTCCTGCCCCCCTATGCCATCGTCCAGATGTATTAGGTCCAGATACACGCTCTCTAGAACAAAAGGGTTTAAATAGCCGTGTGCTGCGCGAGCTTGGCTGGGTGGACGCGAGGACGGAGCGGGATGACCCGCGGAAGTCGGACCTGACAATTCGATCGCGTGAGTCTCCCCCGTCTGATCTGCGGAGGCTCAAGACGGCGATCAAGTTGCCGGCGCGGTTCATTGGCATGGTATTCGGGATGACGATCCAATCCGGGTGGAGCGCTGTAACCGTTTGATCCGGAGGGAGGCGGCAGCGTAATTGTATCTAGTCTTTTCCTCCGTATAAGGCACTTTGGTTAACGAATTCGCTTCGATTCACTTCGTATCTCCCGTCGGTAAGGTGGTCGACTTTCATACTCATTCCTATCCTCTACTTCCCGTATTATCACAGGCAGGGGATCCTATTCATGGCCGGTCCCAGCAGCGCTAGGTAGACGATCGGTATTATTTCACGGTATTTTAGCAGGGGCGGGTGGTGGTTGGTTTCCAAGATTAGTTGTGAATGTCGAAAGGGTCCAGGTTACTTGCCACCAAATTTGTCGCTAGTGATGGTCACGAGCATGATGTTGTTCCTCCCGTCACGATCCATTGCCTATCATATCGAGGTTCCAACTTGAGCAGCTCCAGGATGCATTCGGAGGCGAAAGGGGTGCGGGGCCGAGTAGAGTTCCGGGTGCCGCCTGACAACGTTCTTAGCCCAGTGCTTTCGCACGGGGATCGGCCGCGTTGTGCGAGGATGCGATTCGCCCTCTCTGTTATAGCATCAAACGGCGGCGTAAAGCCTCTGGCGTATACGTCGGCGAAATGGCTGACGATAGTCTTTCTTTTCTGTGGTCGCTCTGTCGATTTTCGTCCGGGTGCGGGGTTCGCGCGGCGGATGCCCGGTGCGCCTAGCGGTCGTTGCCCCGGAGGATTACGGCAGCTTCGAAGAGCGGGTTGAAACCATTGAATTACGAGGGGTTGCACCCGTTCTTTCCTTGCCTCTAGTCGAACGTAACCACCCTGTCCTCCTAGGTACGTGACTGTTGGACCCCAGAACGACTGTGAGGAATTGGTGAGATAGCAATGGCAAGGGGATACGAGGCGGGCGCGATGACGAGGCGGTAACCCAAGACAGAATGAGTGGATCCCACCTGGGCTTGTCTCGTCATGGTTGGCTGCGACGTTTCTTCTCCAACCCCCGCGACAAGACGGGAATCATGGATACCAGCGACGCCTATCGACAGGCGCTGGAACGATCGACGACGCTTGATACTCCAACGGAATGGGTAGATGAAAGTCACGATGTTCCAGTGGCGCGTGGTATCAACCGGGCTGGTTGCGAGCAATGGCTCCGTGACATGTGTTTCCCCGCCGACGACGCGACGTGGAATCGCATCAAGATGAAATGGATCAGTTTTCTGTCCGCAACAAGCATGATGCCCGATGTGGCACTGGCGCCGAACCGCAAAGCCGTTCAATTCACCTCTGGTGATGGGCGCCTTGTCGACAGCATAGAAAAAAGGTTCTCCACAGACCGCTTCCACCGAAAGGTCGTGCAGGCGTCCTTTTGGGCAGACTCGGGCTTGGAAGGCCTAGAGGCGCTCGCAGAGCGGTGGCCAGGGATCGCGTGGACGGCGCTCAATGCCGCAGACGAGGGGAGGAGAGGCCAGGAGTTCCAGACACTGGCGGCGATCTGGGATCTGGGAAGGCGTCGACGGTACCAGGCGGTGTTGACGAGCATGTTGGGTTTCCTACTGTATTGCCACGAGGATGGTGCTCTTCATGACCTAGGCCTACAGCTGGACCAAGACCAACAAGACGATCTTATCGACCTGGAGCAGGGGGTGTCCGTGTCCATGATGGAGCAGAGAACTCTGCGATGGAATAAGCCCAGTGCTCTTGACGGGGTCTGGGCCGTAACGGAACAGCTCCTAGTGAAAGCCATGAACAGGAGAGGGTCGACGGCGCAAAACAACCCGCTGCTGTGGTGGGTAGCGATCATGACCAAGTCGGCACTGGAAGGCGGTACCGACTTCATCAGCAGCGGCAGGTTCAACATGAACCCAATGCCCATGGACCTGGACCTCCGTGGCCGAGCAGAGGCATTGGTACACTACGGCAAGATCTTGATGCTGAATACTGCATTTATTTCGTGGAATCCGGACCGGGATTCATTTGCGGAGGTCGAAGGGGACTTGAATCTAGTCGACAACGAGTGGCTGAACGTGGAGGTATCTCATCATCTCGACGTATCCCCTATTCTCAAGGTCCGTAATATAATGTACAGCTATACTCACAAGCTCTCAAGAAAGCAGCCGTGTACCAGACGTGGATGAGCGTGAGCGCATCCCGAACAGTCTCGGAGTCCTCCCCCAGCCCATCACTCGACGGGTCAGGCGGCGGACTCTCCCGTGGATAAAAAAGCCACGCCCGAATCTCGCCTGTTCGCGCCATTCATGGTTCCGTTACGTCGAGCGTTCCTCCGAGCCCCTCTCCGGGACACTTCTTCGCTGGCGTCTTTCACGTCCTCCCGCGTCAAGGCGTAACCCGGGTGTACGAGATCGAAATCATCCTCCACACGTGCAAGGAATGCCGGCCATACGGTTCCGATCACGTCGTCTGACGCCCCGAGCGGGACAGACGGCTGGCTAGATGCAACGGAGGGCCGAGGCTGGGTGCGTCCGTCCTCCTGTACTGTAATGGACGGGAGCCGCCGCCATTCTTCCGGAACTTCGAGAGATAGGCTTGGATCCACTCTCTGTCGCGTCCTCTGTACGATTTGCCATGTCTCGCGGAGGAGGTCCGTGAGACAACGCATCGCCTCGTGGAACTGGTCACTTCGGTCTGCGGGAATCCAATGTTGTACTGCTGCGGCGACCTCACGAACAACAAGAGCAGAGCGAGACGACGCCGGGTCATGCTTCCCTGACGCGGTCGCTTTCAAGAGAACGGCTCGGATAAAAGCACCATGGCCAGAATGGCTCTTGCCCAGTTCTTCCAGCGCACGGTCTAGCTCCTCGCCCTGGTGAAGGAAGTACGTCGGCCTGAAAATATGTTTGACGAGCGCGTCTGCGAGTACGACCAGCGCAGCGAAAACCCGCATACGCTTGGCGGCGGGGGTGTTGGTCGGGGGAAGAGGAATGGCAGTGCGTCGGATTGCCTGATGGTCTCGGATGCCGGCCCACGCCGCGCCGTCCTCTAGACAGCTCTCAGGAAGGTCGGCTGTGAGCTCGGCGCCTAGGAAGTCTAGGACGCCACGGAAGGCGGAGTTGAGGCCCTGGCAGCTGTATTGCGATGTGAGTATATCGGAGAAACTAAAGGGTGCAGCTATGTCGCGTGTCTGGACCTACATCTGGACCCGGTTGACTTCAAGACTAGGCATCTTGGTGATATGGGAGCGAACTGCAGCGAGCTCGTTCTGCGCCTTTCGCAATTCCTCCGACTTCTTCACGAGGTCGGACTGCAGAGATGACAAGTTTGCATTCAGGGCCTTTTCCCGCCCTTCTAGCAAAGAGACCTTCTCCTTCAATTCTTTGTTCTTCGCCTTCAGATTCAGGTTGTCCTTCTCATGGGCTTTGGCCGTCTCGGTCACTCGGAGGACCTTTTGCTCCCAGTCCCAGACCTGCGCGCAGAGATTCCCGACCTTTGTCTCCTCGCTTTCTTTCGCGTTTTCGGCAGCGACCCTCTCACGCTCCGCCGTGGCAAGGCGGGCTTCGAGAGCCCGGACTGCCTCAGTGTGTTCTCGCTTCTCCTTCTCCTGCTCTATTCCGCGTAGAGACAGTTCGTTAAGATTCGTCTTGTACGCAACGTGGAGTTCGGTTAGTTCGCGCTCTTGCGCTTCATGCCTGTGCGCCAACTCCTTGACTCGCTGATATCCACCCCGAGATTTAAGTGCGGCAATGAAGGCGAAAAAGTAGTCCACATCCCTCTCTGTGTCAGATGTCGAGGGCGAAGGGGTCGCTTTGGGGGATTGAGGCATTAGGGCAACGGACGGCGCCATGATCAGGTCGATGCGTTGGAGGGTGACTGCGACGCGGAGCTCGGCTTATCAGGGTGAATGGATAGATATGAACATGGCTTATCTACTGCAAGAACGAGAAGTTAGTCGGTCGTCGGAGGTCTAGCTGGACGAGGCGGTTGGTTCCATGCACATCAAGACACGCGTGACTTGCGAAAGTGCTTGGCGCTATAGCTGATACGACTCCATACCGGCCGGCAGGCTACACCAGCGAGTGCAAGGCGGACCAACGACAGGACCACGCACGACGTGGTCGCAGAAAAGTGACCTACACTATTAGGTTGACGAAAGGTGTAGGAACGATTGGCTATGGGTGGCTCCCTCGGAGGAACCCCCCGCGCCAGGGCAGCCTCGTCACGTTTCTGCAATGCATGTGGAGGATACCATGTAGGTAGCTGCTAAACAGCCCGGAAACCTCGCGTTCCCTGATGTTAAACCAACTATCTCCCTGCGTCTAGGCTGTGCTAGGTCTCCGTATTGTTCCGACCAGCCAAGAAGGAACATTGACATCCAGAGAGGCCTTGAATCGACTATCACCCGCGAGGTAAAGCCGGTCTCAAGACAGCCTAGGAGACTTTCATTAGGAGCACTGATGGGAGTGGGATTTCCTGCCTGAGAGCATCGCGGCTCCAAATGGACGTAAGCTAGGGCACTGCCAGGGAACGAAACGACGAAGCCACGAGGGGACCCCTCGACCTCTGGGAGACTACGTTCCAGCCTCCTAGTGCGACCATATCGCTGGCTGCGAGCAAGTACGGGTAGTCCAACTAATTTGTATCGTCGACCGTCCGGTGAAGGTGCTATTACGCCCATCGGGAGAGAGAGAATGGTTCCACGCCAAGACGCGACGATATCAATTTCCTAATGCACAGAATATGAAGTTAACAGACACACACAGAAAGCCTGCTTCATATTGCATTCCGCCAGCGAGCCCCTAAGGAGAGTCGCGTGCCATGACTTCCATCATTCGTCGCTCCTCCTCAAATTGCCGCAATTGGTCTGCTGTGGTGATCAAAACCCCAGTATCCTCATCGGAGTCACCAGTGAAGGGGCATGTAAGTATTTTGCACTCCCCAGTCGATGCCTCTGCGTCTTCATGCCCACATACTCGCCGATCTTCGATCTCTGTCCGCGAGACTACCTGGCCGAGGGCATCTCTCGAGACGTATTTCACTTCGATGGCTGTGTGTAAGACACCAATCAAAGCAGAATGGAGCGAAGCACAGCTTGGTACAAGTTGCGGACTTGCAAAGCTCCCTAGGGCTTGCATCTCATTAGCAAGAACAAACGACGTTGTGATGGGGCTTTGATCTACCACTGAAAGCGCTCGCCATAGGCTTCCATATCGTCCAACGCTGCTTCTAGATCCCTACAGTCTGATCTTTATCGAAACGGCGCGCCATGATATCGACTTGGTAGTAGTGTAGATAATGAATCGTCAACATGATCTGCAGGGGAGGATTCCTCGCGATGTGATTACCCCGTACAGTCCGGGTGCCGGCCGGCCGGTAGAGTGAGGTGATCGCTGGCGCACTCGCGTTGGCGAAGACACCGAAGTTGAGGAGTTTTGCGACTGGTTTGGGATGAGGGTCTCCTGGGGGTTGACGGATGCGACCAACCTGTGCAAGGTCTGGCAGTGAGTGTTACTATAATGTCTTTTGTTGAGCGAGCTTCGGAGAGGAGAGGTTCTCTCCGCTGAATAGACTTCGAGGTGAGGACCAGAAGAAGGGGAGAACAGACCAACAACATCGGACCGGTGCACAGCTGAAAGCAAACTCAACCAGACTGGAGAGACGAGTCCGACGAGAAGAGCATCCTGCATGCATGCGCGCTCCCACTAAGCCGCAAGGGACATCATGGCCATGCACGATGGACGCAGACACGGGTTGGCTATCTGTTTGTGGGTGCGTCATGCTTCGTACTTTGCCGGACTGTCCTGTCAATCAAGTCGCCACCTCCATCGTTGTGGCCTCAAGATTCAAGGACCCCCCCCTCTATCTCTTCCTCTCTCTCCCTCTCTTGCCGGAGATCGGTCGTCTATTATGATGTTCGTGCCTAACGCCGCAGACTGTCAGGTCCTGATCACGGGTATGGACATCCGATAACGAAAGAATTATGTACTAATTGTATAGAGAACCTCCGAGCGCCTGTATCCAGGTATGCAGTATGCATACGGCCATTATAACATACCGAACCTAAGGCCCTTATGGTGGGGTTAAGGCTTGCGTAGTTGCCTCCCCTTCCTTCGCCACCACAGTCTGTCTCCCCCTTCAGACTATTATAAGAAAGACGTACTTATTTGATGTTCTACAGGATGCAATAACGAATTCTATTCATTGAACGAAGTGCTCCTTCAAACCCAGTAGCTTTTGGGAAAGGAGCTAGGGGGGCTAGATAGTACCGAGGGCGACGCGTCGGTGAAATAGAGAGGAAATGGCGTTTAGATACTTCCTCCTCATGCTTAGCTACGGTCAATCTTGTTTTCAATTGAAGGTGTTCTCCTCTCGAGGGCCTGCAACTGTACCAATTGTTTCCCGAATCACGCCCTGATTTGTTTGGCAAGGCTCTTCCAGAGGTGCGGGGTCGAAGCTGGCTGGTGTCAAAAATGCTGCCTCGGCAATCTGAAACAGAACTGGTCCGTGCATATCGTCATTTTGTCTGACCAATAACAAACGAGGGTCGCCCCTAGCAACGTGATTCTCGCTTGTTCAACACTGTTTTTCAGACCCATCGCGCAGTTTCTGTCTATTTTCCATCGAACGAACAACGACAGCGATATCTCATGGCCCAACAGAGGAGCGTAGAGGAGCTACAGAAGCTCCTGGACGAGGCTTTGCAGCGCGCCGAAGAAGCAGAGATAGGACGACAGGCAGAGCGACAACGCGCCGAGGACGAGCGACAACGCGCCGAGGCTTCGGAGGAACAAACACGATTTACAACACTACACGAATACATCGCAGCCTGCCATGCATCTGTTTTCTCCCGGTTTGTCATCGAAACTGATCCAAAATTGACCTCGAGGGGCTCCATCACAAATCCCCGTGACAAGTGGTGTCCTGCAAATCTGCGGCCATGGTCCGACTTCATTGATCAACAGAAGCTCACTTTCGGTACACTCTACGATTCCTTTCCTACCGACCGCCGCGTTTTCGAGAACCGAAATTTCCTGGACGTCTTGGGCAACAGGGTCTCTCAACGGCCGATAGCAGACGAGAAGACGCTCGAATATTTCCTGCATAATAGCGTGGAGGATCCGGTCAGGGCCATCATTCATCAACTCAAAATGGTGGAAGAGGTCAGCAGGGCATTTCAGATTGGAGATGGTGTTGTCTTTGACAACCATCCCTATGCCCTCAGCGATGTCGCCGAAGAAGTCGTCGATAGGGAGACCCAGTCGACGCGACCACGGACACCAGACCACCGAGGTGATCTCAATCAGCTGCGACCGGATCAAATATGCGTGTATCGATCCGACAATGCCCTGTCTTCCCTGCGCACTATGGTGTACATATCCGAATATAAGCCGCCCCACAAGCTAACGGCGCCACATCTTCGTCTCGGACTCCGCGCTATGGACATCTACAAGGAAGTTGTAAATCGAAAGACGATTCCAACTTCTGCAGACCCCGACGCGCGTTTCCAGTATCACGCGGAGAGGCTGACGGCATCTGCAATCACGCAGACGTATCATTACATGATTGAAAGTGGCCTTGACTACGGTCTTCTGACGACTGGCGAGGCCATCGTATTTCTGAAAATTGACTGGGATCAGCCCGAAACGCTGTACTATCATCTAGCGGAACCTGGTCCGGAGGTCTCAGCCCATCCAAACAACCTGCCAATCTGTACGGCTGTCGGTCAATATCTGGCGTTCACCCTCATGGCTCTTGGTTCGCCTGGACAACAACGGACGCATGGGCAGGAGGAACGTCGGAGAGCGATGGAGCACTTGAAGACGTGGGCTGAGGACTTCGAAACGACATTGCGTTCCATCCCGGAAAATGAACGATCGGCATCATCGGACGACTCACCTGGTTATGAACCTACCACCTACAAAAGGCGTTGATCGGTCACCCGGCCTTCCCCGCAGAAGGAGACGTCGAGGTGCTGAGACTCAGGTTGGCGAGAAGTCGCTGACGAAGACAATAGGCGGGAACCATCTGATGACGAGTCGGCACCCAAGCCACCGGACACGCCTACGCCCAGCGGACGAAATGCAAGACCAGGAACTAGGCGGAGTCAGCGGCTGGCGCCACGGCCGCGCGGAGGAGGCGGCGAGCAGGATCGGCAGTACTGTACGCAGAAATGCCTTCTCGCGATGGTCAGAGGTGGTTTTCTCGACTTACATTGCCCGAACGTGGCACTTCACCACAAGAGCTGTGTCTCCGCCCGCGCACGTCATCCTGTCGATCATGTGGAATGGCTTCGCCTACTGCGGAAGCAGCTAGAACAGTCTCTTGACGACGGGATCAAGCCATTAGGGGAGGGTGGCGCACGGGGCGTGCTTTTTCAAGTGACTTTACTTGCCCACGGCTACACCTTTGTCAGCAAGGGCACCGTGCCGGCTTTCATCACAGATCTCGAGCACGAGGCTTCGGTTTACGACCGTCTCAAGTCTATTCAAGGCGCCAACGTGCCTGTATTCCTGGGTGCTATCGACCTCCGATCGATGAACAAGACTTACTACTACGACCATCGGGTCTACGTGGTGCATATGACATTTTTGTCATGGGGAGGTTGCAGCATCGGCAAAACAGAGAAAGTGGGCGACACAAACAAGTCGCTCGAAAGTGAGGCCATTCAATCCCTGAGAGCCTTGCATCGAGAGGGGGTGATCCACAAGGATGTGCGACTTGCGAACATGTTGTTCAACCCTGAGACCAATAGGGTTATGTTCATCGACTTTGAACGGGCCTTGCTACTCAAGCCGCCCCGGCGTCCGTTGGCGCAGCTGGTGCCAAACAAGCGAGCGTGGAAGTCTGAGATGATGATGGATGTCAACAAGGCGACTGATGATTCAAGCAGACAGATTGGGTCAAGTCAAAGTTTTTCAGAGGATATTTCAATGGCAAAGATGGCTTTCTTTGCATGAAATGTTCCCTGAGGACATGGGTTGGTGCTTTCTGTCTAGGCGACATGAAACGTTAGGCAAGTTAATACAAGGTAATAGATAAGATCGCCAAGCCTTCACAAATCTGGAGTTGGGGAACGTCACGTCGGTGATCATGAGTTTCAATGCCTACTGTACAAATACCCTACTGTACCAATACCCTGATGTATCAGGTCCAGATACACGAAATTGTGGCCCGTGCATCACCAAAAGTCTGTCTCCTGCCCCCCTGTGCCATCGACCAGATGTATTAGGTCCAGATACACGAAATTGTGGCCCGTGCTCGCGACCGTGTTTAGCGGCCGCCTCAGTGGGACGCGCGTCAAGTGATATTGCCGACGAAGCAGCGCGGTCAATGTCGGCTTTCCACCTAACTGCGTTTCGAGCAATCAATCTGTTCATATGCTGCAACATACAGCGAAAGCCTCATGGATGCCGACGACCTCACATTCCTTCGCTCGCAGCAGCTTGTGATCGACCGTACGGCTCTGGTCCTCATCTGCGGCCGCCCCGAATGTCTTACTGGCCTGTCACCGAAGACCCACCAGGTGAACGACCACCTCAATCGAAAACACCACATTCCTGCGGAGGTGCGGGGTCACGAGACATGAGCTGTAACGCTGCGCGTGGTGTGCTGTGGGATCTCCGAACAGCAGCGGACAGACAGACTCGAAGATTGAAATCATTTACTATTTCGTTGAAGTACGGCAGCAGATTGATCGTGGGTGGGCTGGTCTTGACGTGGGACGGCGCGACGCGAACTGGTGGATCCCACTCCACGTGGCGCCCCACCTGCAGCCATGGCGATCGAACGCGTAGTCGGGCGACGCAGCAGTGTCCCGATGTTCTAAGTCTGGCTGACTTGACGTTAGATCCTGTGGATTTGTTAAGTACAGAGGAGGAGAAAGCTTTTTGGAAAGCAATTGAAGGAAGTGAGGATCCCAGTAGGGTGGACTCTGTCGGTATGGATACAGGAGAGCGGAGTGACAACATTTGGGAAGTGTTTGTGGATTATTCAGAGTGTCAGTCTGGAGGAAGAGTAGGGTGAGAGATACGCGACCTGGGAGGCTATTTTGTTAGACTTTATGATGTCCTGGGGTACCTCACTTGGAGTGATACCAATGAAATGAGATTGGATACTAGTCTTCCTCTAATCCATCAGATTCTGGTAGTGGGTATGGGGCGCAGCCCCGTACGAGTGAGCAAAGCGATCGAGTCAGCTTATGTAAAGTAAGCATTGACAATGGAATGAAACACCATGAGGTGATAGATAGAACATGTGAATGTCATTTGGTGATAACCTCACTTTTGGAAAGTTTATTGTAAAGTGATGCAAAGGAGCGTAGCGACTTGGAATCAATTGTTCTTTAGAAGTACGAAAGGGAGCAACGCGACCGATACTCCCAATGAAATAAGCCAGTTGAGATACTGGCCATGGCTGAACGGAGTGAAGAAAGGAACGGAGTGACGTGAATGAGCGGAGCGAAATGAAAGGGCAACCTGACTGGAAGGAGGGAAAGGAACGGAGTGACATAAGCGGAGCGACCTTACCGAAGCGGAGCGAAAGGTGAAGGAAGGGCCCAGGGCACACCGAGGAGGAACGACGAGAGTGATGACCCAAGGGGAACCGAAGGTGACCCAAGCCATCTTAACTATGGCCAGGAAGGACATATTTTGGTGGTCCAAAATCCCTATAATTTGTTATAAGATGGCCCATGGCCCATGACCCGACCCAGCAGATTACTAAGGAGGGGAAAGGACAGCGCGAGTGAGTATAACGAACGGGAGCGGCCAGAAGAAGGGAGTGATAACGACCTAGATAGGAAGAAAGGCGAATGGAGACCCAGGAAGGGTGGGGAAAATGAGGTAAAGGAGGGGGACGACTGGTTGATAATAGTCGTACAGGATGTGGGTCTAGGATAGATGCATGGAAGGCCACGTGGGAGCGATGAAGGGTATATGAAGGGGGTGGGAGCCCACGTCTTGGAAGGACAAATGGGTTGTTCTTCACTTCTTTTTCTTCTTTCACTTGTGAAGTCTTTTGTTCTTGCTTGGAAGGCAGGTCACGATCGGATGATTGTGGAAGAGAGCACTGGGTGATCTTTTGAACCTTTGGTGTTCTGGGAGAGGTATGGTGACAGTACGGGACAAGAGGAGCCGTGTTGAGACCCTTTTGTTTGTGTTTGGTGATGCTGAACTGGACAGTGAGGATGAGTTTCACGAGAGGGATGGTGTCGTGTGAGACGAACAGTTTGTTCCTCAGTCTTAGGGCACGGAGGAGACGAGGTTGGTGCAGCCCGTTCAAGAGGGACTCGGAGAGATTACAGGGCGACTTTGTGTCTTTGGTGACTTTACATGGCACATTGGCGGGAGCGAAAGAGTTTCTTTTAGGGTTGGTACCTAAACTGGAAGAGCTCAGTTTGACAGGTTTTTGTTGGATTAATGATGAGACGACGAAGGAATCCAATGGCAGCGTGTGCGTTTGCCTCTGTGTTGCTGGGCCGTTGGCGGCTCGTTCTGTGACGATGATGTCTTCTATCGAAGGTGAGGGCTTGGATAAGACTTCACTTTGGTTTGTTGAGGCGTTTCCCGTGTGGGAGCAAGAGTATTGGATGGCGGAGCGGAAGTCACTGTTAAAGCAGTCAGGAGTAAAGTGTTGGGTATATTCCCCTGTGGGGTGCGCACCGAAGGATTGGGTATTGGTCCAGGATTTGGGACTAATTGGGAGAGAGAGGACGGGTGAAGATTCCGCTATGTTGAATGAAAGTATGAACCGTGTAGTTCAACCCTTGGGGGATTGTCCTTTGAATGTGGTACCGAGTTTTTTTTTTTTTCTCCGGTGTATTGGGAATATTTTTGGGGTGGAGTGGTACCAATAGAATGATACTGGATACTGTTCTCCCTCTAATCATTCAGATTCTGGTAAAATGGGGTATGGGGCGTAGCCCCCGTACGAAGGAGCACAGCGACTGAGTCAAGCCCCAAAGTCTTTAGGATAAAAGATAAATTGAACCTTGTTGAGATTGGTAATTAAAGTGTGAACGTGATGTGGTGATAGCTTCACTTTTAGAAAGGTGGAGAGGGAGCGTAGCGACCGGTACTACCAATGAAATACAACCAGTGCGGACTACTGGCCATGCCGAACGGAGTGAGGGAATGAACGGAGTGAAGGGAGAGAGCGGAGCGAATGACTGGGCATCCGAATGGAATGAGGCAAAGGAACGGAGTGAGTAAGCGAGAAGCGACCTTGACCGAAGCGTAGCGTAGGTGAAGGGGGGTAGACCGAGGGAAGGATGACCCAAAGGTCCATGGACCACCGTAGCGTAGTGAAGGTTGGTATGACCCGGCCATCTTAACTATGGGAAGGATGACCATTTTTTGGTGAGCAAAAATCCCTATAATTTGTTATAAGATGGCCCATGGCCCATGACCCGACCCAGCAGAATATGACTAAGAGGGGCAAGGAAGACATGAGTGGAAGGGAGCACTAGCGACCAGGAACGGGCAGAATAAGAGAAGTGGAGAGAACAGAGGAAAGGGAAGGAGGGGAACGATTGGACTGACGAATCGAACGAACAGATAGACTGCGATAACGTGGAGGTGGAGCTGTACTTATCGATAGCACGTGACTGGGGCGGAACAGTGCGGTAAGATGGTAGAACGGTGTGGTACTGGGACAGATTAGTCTTGGGACGGTACAGTTCTAGGACGGGAGGATATGCCTGGGGCTTGAAACTTTTGTTTATCGTCTTTTCTTAATGAAATGGGTTGAATTGTTTGAGGACATGGAGTGTGCTGGGACAAGCTAGTGTTGGGACAAAGAAGTTTTAGGACAATGGGAATGTTGTCTTGGGACACTGTACTGCCGGGAAGTAGGTCTTAGTAAGGCTGGTCCTTTGTCATCTTTGGGAGAAGTGGGGCGTTGCTAGGCAGGTGACTTGGTGAAGTGGATAAACGCGTGACGCGTTAGGTGAGGATGCCTTATTTGAACTTCCACCCTTCATCACCACTTTGGAGTCTTTCTTACGGTCGCGATGGCAGCGCAGCCCGATTTCCGCCAAGTTGCGGGTGCCTTTACTACACTTGCTGAGCAGAGTGCTTTGCTACCCAATCTTCCGGCTGTGAATGGAGGTGGGGAACTCCTGGGATTGATGCAGGAGATGCGGAGGGAGATGACGCGGTTAGCTACCGCTGTTGGGCGTATAGAAACGCGTCTGAGCGCAGTGGAAGCGACGCTTGGTTCCCTTGGGGAACGATTAGCTGCAGAGTAAGCGATTGTTCTGAAGTTTGCCTGGTTGGTTTGGACTGACCTTGTGTGTCATGCAGGAGCGCAAATAACCTGGCGAGATCATTGAATGGGGCAGCGAATGGTCAGGTGTTACAGCCACTACGGAGTTTGGTCACGGGACGATTTGTTGAGTCATTCCCTCGGACGTTGGCGGAACTTGGAGACATGAATGGTATGTTTCCTTGGGTTTCTACTTGGGGTTTTCCATTATTGATCAAAGCAGGGCGCGCATTGACTGTACTGTTGGAAGAACTGGGTTATTCTTTTGAAGGAAGTACTGCAGAGAAAAGGCGATATTTGAAGCACCTTTGTGGTGTTGTAACGGAGCTGGTGTAGGATCACGTGAACGGCGTTTCAGGTGTTGGGAGTGCTTTAGTCATGATGTGTCATTATGTGGGAATAGCTTCACTTTTCTTGGAGTAGTACTCTTTCCTCCCAATCCATCAGATTCTGGTAAATGGGTATGGGGCGAAGCCCCGTACGAAGGAGCATAGCGACTGAGTCAGCTGTTGTAAAAGGAATGATACAGATAAATTTGTTAAAAAGGTGACTTTGTGACAATGAATACAACCAGTAGAGATACTGGCCATGGATGAACGGAGTGAATCGAATGAACGGAGTGAATGGGGGCAACCTGACTGGAAGGAGGGAAAGGAACGGAGTGACATAAGCGGAGCGACCTTACCGAAGCGGAGCGAAAGGTGAAGGAAGGGCCCAGGGCACACCGAGGAGGAACGACGAGAGTGATGACCCAAGGGGAACCGAAGGTGACCCAAGCCATCTTAACTATGGCCAGGAAGGACATATTTTGGTGGTCCAAAATCCCTATAATTTGTTATAAGATGGCCCATGGCCCATGACCCGACCCAGCAGAATATGACTAAGAGGGGCAAGGAAGACATGAGTGGAAGGGAGCACTAGCGACCAGGAACGGGCAGAATAAAGGTGAGCGACAGCGAACCAATGAAGAAAGGTGAATGATGACCCGGTGGGGAAAGAATGCATGATTGATTGGATATCAATAGTCGTACAGTTTACGGGAAAGGGATTGGTGGTAACTGTGAAGGTGGTGTGGATACTTTTTGTTTTGACTGGGAAGGAGGTGGAAGGTATATGAAGAGGGGATGCCCCCCTTCTTGGAAGGACAAACAAGTGCTTTGGTCTTCACTTCTCTTTTCTTCTTTAGTC